TGATTAATCGATTATTAAATTAGTCATTGATTATTTTAATAATCGATTAATCATCGATTAATTGATTAATCGTTGCAGCACTTGTGAGCTTATTAATAATTTTGTTGGGATCAACAGGATTTATCCTGTCTTGTGACAATCATCACAGAAAATGGTTAGATATCAGGCTGCTGTATCAGCAAACGATTGTTCCCCATACTTATTCAAACATGAAAAATACTCAAATTTAGTTTACATTAAAAAAACATTATTTACAAAACGTTTTCATTTGTTTTGTCTTGTTTTTACTTTTATGTGTTTTTAAATGTGTTCATATGTATCTCTACACTGCATGAGCTCATGTTTTCTACAGTTTTACAATTCAGACGAACAGCTGTTGGAGGTTTTAAAGTGAAAGCTTTCAGGATTTAGGCCATAAAACTTGTTTTTTTTTTTCTTTTTTTTTTTCTACGTGATGCTCCAGATGTTTTTGTTATGTAGCAGATGTGTACAGCCGGCCGGTCATTTGTAACGACAGAGCCATGCTGCTGGTGTAAAATATAGTTTCCATCCATCAATTATGCGCTGCTTGTTCTGGAGTCGGGTTGCGGGGACAGCAGATTGAGCAGGAAGGCCTAGACATTGTTTTCCACAGACACCTCTTCTGAAAGGATTCCACGGCGTTCCCAGGCCGGCTGAGAGACATGGTCTCTCCAGTATTCTGGGTCGTCCCTGGGGTCACCGCTTTGGTAAACCAGGATAAGAGCACCAAGGCCCCTGTCTTCAGCTGCCACCCATAGCACTCAATGCATTAGGGCTGTGTATTGGCAAGAATTTGGCGATACGATACCTAACATGACAGAGGGGTCACGATACGATATATCCCGATATATTGCGATACTGTAAGCAAGGCGATGTATTGTGATTTTTTTTGTCCAAAAATTCTATTAAATAAAAACCTCTTACTGGGGAAAAAAAAAAAGAAAAAAATTCATTGTCTCAGAAAATTTTAATATTACATAGACATACTTATGATACATTTAGCTGTGTTCTGCTTTGTATGTTTTTTATTTTATTTGTTTCATATTTCATCCATGTTTTCAATTATTAGACTAAATTTGACAATAAATAGTTTGAAAATATATTTTTGCAGCTTTTAGTTTTTAATATTAATTTACAATATGGTCACCCAACACTTAACAATAGTCTCTACCTCAAGAGGTAGAGGAGTCAAATGTCTGGCTCACTGCTGCCAACTAGTGGTCAGAGGCTGAACTACAACATAAAAATGAATGGCTGGCAGGAAAGTTGACGTTTTAAACCTTAATAAAAAATCGATACAGGGCTTTAGAATATCGATACAGTATCGGGAAATGAAATATTGCGATATTTCAGTGTATCGATATTTTCTTACACCCCTACAATGCATCTGAACTTATGACATGTTTTTCAGGTGGTTGACCCACAGAAAGACAAACACACGTAGTACATTCAGGCTGAGGTCCAGTCACCAATTACCTGCCAACCAATTCTTCCCATTGGCCTGGCTCCAGGGTGAAGTCCTGGTAATCCAGATCCAGGCTTCTTTCTGTCTTCTGTCTATACAAGTATCGTGAATTACTCTTTATCTTGCCTGTCATACAGTATATGACCAGTCTGCCTTGGGAAACCCTACTCGGGGTAATTGCACTGGACTTCATAGCTCCTAGGATCATTCAGGTACACAAACACCTCCTCCACAATAAGGTGGTGATTCATGAAGAACAAAACGTGGTTTGTTTTACAGAAATACAGTCTGGTACCAATATTTATTTCTTCTAAAGTATTTGAATATGTTTTACTATTATCAGAGTCTTCCCAGATATGCATGTTACACACAGTACATAATGGGTATATTACCTCATTAAAATACTTGCAAAACTAGTTTTCTTAAACCAACGTTTTACTTAAATGGCATTTTATAAAGTACTGTATGGTAATGTGAATTCTCTGCTTGTAATACAGTGATAATAAACCCAACATTATATAATGAGCTGTGTTATATAATGATCTCTGTTATATAAGTATAACAGAGTTCAATATTATCATAGCAGTAAAGGCTGAAATGAGTCAGTTTCTCTGCAAATCTTTAAAAATATCAATACAGTTCAGACTCTTCCAAAACCTGAAGATTTGTCAAAAATACTGAGTTGCTTTATTAGCGAGGATTGATTTCATTATGTCAGTTTAATGTTTTATTTTCCATTGATGCTGTTTCTGAAAGTGGTTTTCATGTTTTATGATAAGCATCACATTTTGTTATTTAATAGCTCTGAGCCACTCAAGTGTATCAACTTGTAATAATAATAATTTTATTAAACTTCTTCCTGTTAGAGTTCTCGACACATAAACAGGTGTTGTTGTTTTTTTCCTTTATCTCATAATTTTCTGTAATTCCAACAGATAAGACAGCTTTCATGTCTTCTTTGACTTCAGGCTTTTTTTCCCCCCGGCACATATCGCGAGTAAACAGATGCGGGCTAAAACTGTTTTATCAGCTCAACATACGCTGAAAGTCCTGCTCAGACTTGTAATAAATCTGACTGAAACCCTGTAGGGGTTGAAAGCATCAGAATGAAAACCACTGATGTTTCAGCACCGGATCTGGACCTGATTTAGACAGAACTGAACTTTGAACAGTATTTTCTTTGGACTTGTTACATCTTTGTACAGAGCTCTGAGATAACTGTTGTGAATTGGAGCCATGTGAAAAGATGGATAT